AAAAAAAAAAAAAAAAAAAAAAAAAAAAAAAAAAAAGAGTTTATAATAATAAAAAGTTTTATTAAAAATTATTTTTAAAATAAATTAAATTAAGTATATTCATTAATTTGTTTTATTTTGCTCTATTTTTTTTATATTTTTACTTTATATTTGAAAATATTTTATTTTTATTATTTTTTTTTTTATGTTAGAAATTTTTTTTTTTTTTTTTTTATAAATATAAATATATTATATATATATATATATATATATGTATATATTTAATATTGTAATATTGCTTTGTTTTTTTAAAGCATATATTTTGAAGTATTTACTTATATTAATTTTTTTTAGTTTATATATATTTTTTTTAAATAGTGTAAAGGCAATTTTCATAAGTAAAATTGTAATGTAATTTTAAGTAAAAACAGAAAGATAATAATCATATATGTCTTTAAATATTTTTTCATATTTTTCAGTATAAAAAAAGGAGTTAAAAAAGATAAATTAAGAAAAAAAAAGAAAATTTAAAATTAGTCAGCATGAATTATTTTTAAATTCTAAAAATAAATCATATATAATAAAATAAAAAAAGATAAAATCATGAATACATCACAATTAAATGAAAATTCTTTAATTAATGAAACGGATTTAGAAAAAGTTCATATAACAAATGAAACAGAGGAAAATAAAAAAAAAGAGAAGAATAATGAAACAGCAGGCAGGGAAAATTTGTTAAATGAATTAAGTGAACAAAATAAAAAAATTTTAAAAAAAACAAAAAAAAATACAGCAATTTCTACCTATTCACCAGCTTACATTTCTGATCCTATATACCAATGGGAGGTTAACACAGAAGAAAAATATACAAAAAATTATTTACATATATATTCATATATATATTTAAGATAATTTATATAAATTAAAATTTAAAAGAAAAAAGTATTATAAAAAATGCAATATAAAATTATAATTAATTCATATAAATGATGTATATTTAATAAAAATGTGTATTATTTATTATATTTTATTTCATAAAATAATTAAAATTTTTCTTTTCTTTTGTTTAATAAAAGTAGGTATCAAGTAGTGATAGGATATTTTATGATAAAATAAACGATTTTATAATTCACCAAAATGTTTCAACAAAAGCTTTGTTAGTTACTGACATAAAAAAAAATGAAGAAAATTATAATGGTGTTTATGTAAAATTTGATAAAGAGTTATGTGAAAATATTTGTTTTTGCAGTAATGGAAGTTTTTTTCTTTATTATTGTATTAATCCCAATAAAATTGAGATTTCTGATATTTTAAATAATCATAATATATATTTAAATGTAGAAATTAATAAATTAAATGAATATGAATTATTAAGTGCATTTTGGTTGAATAATATAAATTTAAAAGATAAAAATGAAACTTTAAGTTCTTCTGATTTTGTAATTGTAACAAATAATTCTATAGAAATATTTAAATTTTCTTTTGATAATTTAGTTATTTCACCTTTAAAAAAGCATTTTATAAAAAGTCAGTATTGTTGGTATGATGAAAATAGTTCTTATATTGCTCTTTTATCTAACAAAAGTCATGTAATATTTCCATATTTATTGAGTAATAGTAATGCTATAAAATTGCCAAAAATAGAATTGAATATTTTGAAAAATGATAACATAAATAAAAATGATATTGAAATAATAACTTTATATAATGAAACATATTGTATTCATAAAGATCATAGAAATGGAAGAATATCATTTCGTTGTTTATCTTCTGCATTATATTTTGATTATGTTCTTGATTTATTTTATAATGGTTTTATATATACATTTTCTATTGATAATTTATTAGTTGTATTTAATAATTCGAATGAAAAAGTGTATATATTTGATATAATGTATAAAAAAAATAAAGGATCAATAAATTCTTTAAGTCATCAAAATAATCATACTATCAATATTTCTTATTTAACTACTCCAAAACCCTTTAAAAGTCAAATTAATTTTAATTATGTAACTTTTAAACCATTTAATGTTTTAATAGATAATCATTACGGTAATGTGTATAAGATTAAAATAGATTATGATATGTTGATGTTACAAATATGCCAACATTTTTCTAATCTGGTAAATACATATATAAATATATATAATTATTACATATAATAGCAATTATAAAAAAAAAAAAAAAAAATTTTTTATACAACTATTTTTTTTTTTATAAATTAATAATTCTTATTTTTACACATTTAAATATTTTTATATTTTTACTCTTTTTATATATAGAATACATCTGTTGATGTTTTACTAAGAAGACCTAATTGTAAAAATAGAATAACGGAAATGTTTTTTCTAGCTTTAGAAAATGATATAAAGATAGGAGATTTTTTAAGCATTGTAAATATAATAAATGTTAATTATAGAAAATTAATAGAAAGATCTGCTCATAAAAATAGTAGTTCTATAACAAAAACTAATAAGAAAATTATTCAATCATTTGATCATCTATTAAAAAATTTAGGAGATAAAACATTAATTACTGAGAGAGATATTGTTGCTGATACATTTCATCCTTATATGATAAAAAAATACAATTTAGACAAAAAAGAAACTTTATTTAATTTTTCTTTAAATTTTAGAGAAAATGAGAAAAATAAAAAGAATAGAAAGAAATTTGTAGAAGAAAAAAATAATAGTGGTGAAAAATACATGTTAAAATATAAAATAAAAAAAAAAATTTTTGAAACAAGTAAAACTAATATAAATTCTGACGAAAGTAAGATAAATAATGAATTAGATGAAAATAAAAATGAAACAAAAAGGGAAGATACATCTAATCATGAATCCAATAATAATACTTTAAAAAATAATGAATACGAAATAGAAAATAATATAAATAATGATTATAAATTAAATTTAAATTATTCAGATTTTCATAATATCCCTATGTTCTTAATATATGCTCTAGAATATATGAAATCATTATTATATTTAAATATTATACCAAATAGAATTTTACAAACATTTATTTTTGATTTATGCATATTTTTTAAACAAGATAACTGTTTGAGACAGCTATTACAATTTTACGTAATTTCAGATTCAGTAGAAGTAACTAAAAGATTATTTCATTACTGGAAGTTAACTGAACATAAGTGGGCTTATCAATTTTGTTTAGATATGTCGTTAAGATTAAAAGAATATGAGATGGTTATTCATTTATTTTTATCTTCAAAAAAATATCTAAATGTTATAAGTTTTATAAGAAATTATAATTTATTTGATTATCCTATTTCTGTTATATTTCAAGCAATAGAAAATGATTTTGATTCTCCTGATAAATATATTATATTTAATCATATAATTTTATCATTAAACACATGGATTACGTAATTTACAAAAAAAAAAAAAAAAAGAATGAAATAATAATAAAAATAAATAATGAAATAGTTAAATAAATAAATATATATATATATATGAAATAAATTATTTTTATTATTTTATAGTGATTATGAAAAAGATCCTGTGAATTTTTCTTTACCAAATTTGCAAGTAAATATTAATTCATTATGATTATGTTTTGTATTTTTATATTATATTTATATTTAAATAAATAAAATTATATTTTAATTATTTACTTTTATTTAGTATTTAACACATTTTCTTTTCTTTATTTCCCTTAAAAATTTTTTTTTTTTTTTTTTTTAAATATTTTTTATGTAAGAATTGTGAAAAGTGGGTTAAATTAATCGAAGATTAATAAAAAATAATATACTCCTTTAAATATGATAAGATGAATCCCCTATTTTTTTTTTTTTTTTTTTTTTTTTTTTATTTATTTTGTTTAAATATAAAATTGTAACATTAATATAAAATGTTTAATAAGTTACATTTTAAACATATGAAGTTTTAAATTTTTTATTGTAAAATATATAATGTATAGTAATAAGAAGAATATAGTAAGCTTAAAAAAAAAAAAATACACATTTTTAATATATAATGTATCCATTGAAAGTTAATAATGATAAATAATTATAAAAACTAATAAATAAAAAAAAATTTATTCTATACAATAAAAAATACATTGAATTATTTATAAAAACAATAAAAAAAAAGAAAAAAAAAAAAATATAAAATAAATAAAAAGATATGTATAAAGAACGTTGCATTTAGAAATAAATGTGCTATTTAGACGATTTATTGAATATATATATATATATATATATATATATTAATTCCTCTTATCTCACTAGAATTTAACTAAATTGACTATATTTACTATATTTAATTTTATTTGAATTATTTTTTCTTTAATTTTTTTTTTTATATATATTTTTTTTTTTTTTTTTTATAATATTTAATTTCTAATATCTTAATTTTTCTTTAATTCAAAAACTTTCTTTAATAAGTATGCAACAGCACCTTCTTTATGAGTTAAAGGAATTACACATTTGGCAAAAGATTTGGCTGATTCAGTTGCATTAGCTACAGCAAAAGAATATTTAAAATTAGAAAGCATTGCAATATCATTTTCTGCATCTCCTACAACTAAAACTTGATCATCAGAAATATTGTAATGTTTTAATAGATAACTAATACCAGTATATTTATCATGTCCTAATTTAGTTACTTCTGCGTGTCCGTTATATGTTGTAAAAATTGTTAGTTTTTTACCAAAATTTCTTTTTAAATTTTCAATAACAATTTTAGATTCTGATGGATCTAAAACAATCATAAGTTTATTCATAGTCCTATATTTTAATATTTCATTTTGTCTAATAATTATACTTCTATTCTCACTATACATTTTCTGCATAAAATCAGCATATTTATTATCTTCTGTTACATAATTAGATTCTCCTCGGTAAAAAATTGTCTGATTAACTAAATTATTTTGAACCAGATACCTAATTAATTCAGCATAAACATCTGTTTCTATAGTTTCATCAAGTAATGTGTAACCAATTTGATCATATACAATTGTTCCATTAATATATACACCTGGCATACCATAAAAATTCATTTTTTTTAAATTCTCTTCACCAAATGCACTTAAAATACCAACCTTTGATCTACCAGTGCATACACTAACCATGTATCCTTTTTCAATAGCTAACTTAATGGCTTCAATATTTTCTTCAGGTACTTTTATATCTTTATCTACAAATAAGGTTCCATCAAAATCAATTAAAAGTAATTTTATATCTGCTCCTTTTAATGTTTCCTCCACATCAGTATTAAATATTTTGTCAGCAGCCATTTTAAAACAAAAAAAAAAAAAAAAAATAAAAAAAATAAAAAAAAGGAATGAAAAAAAAGTAATATTAAAAGTATATTACAATAAAACAGAGAATTGTATTAAATTTAAAAAAAAAAAAAAAAAAATTAAATTATAAGATAAAAAAAAAAAATTTGAAAGTCTCTTTTATATAATATAAAAAAAATAAAACATAATCTTCAGAACTATTAAAAAAAAAAAATAAAAACACAGAAAAAAAAATTGCTAGCATGTAATATATATAAAAAAAAAAAAAAAAAAAAAAAAAAAAAATTAAATTTTATAA